TATGTATAAATTTATTTTACATGTATTCGCATTCCATCATCAATAGGATATGATCCTAATAAACGTTGACCTTCGTCCAATTTGCAAATTAATTTATCATTTTTGTCATATACTACAACCTTCATTGTGGCTGAATTAGCACCAGTAACAAGTTCCAATTTTCCCTTTAATAGAATAAAGTAAAGCATATAAGTGTCAATATATAATAATTATTACTACATATTCTTACCTTAAATTCATCAATTGTTATTGCCTTTTGAAATCGTCGTTCTACGCAATATGTGTTCTGACTAGAATTTGTAATAGATAAATTTATGAAATCTGACGTTTTTATATTATAAACGCTCATTTTGTTTGAATAAAAAGAAAAATATTGATTTATTCACAAGTCGACTAACAAGCGGCGTACTCCGTATATATTAGATTATTTGAATTATAATACTGTAACAGAAACTTTACGAAACAATCTATTTATGAAATATTAATAATTATAAATTTTTAAGGCAGATACAAAGTTATTTTATACAATTTTTTCGTTATAAATATATTAAATGTAAAATTACAAATAAAACTAGTGAAGCTTTTAAACACGAATATAAGTAGTGTTACACTATCGCATGAACGTAGTTTTAATCGTTCGTCGTGCATGCCCGTGAACGTGGCTTTAGGGCGGCTGAATCTGGTGTCATGTGGCGCCTCGTAGTGTGAATGTTAAAGCGCGCCAAATACAAATTGTACAGCGGTGTAGCCGAAGCAATGAACAAAAGAACTCAACAAAAGAAATGTACATACAGTGTACAGTAAATCTCATTGATTGCTATTTGCAATCGCTCGTTAAAATCAATATTTATCGTCGTCGCTATGGACAAAACATTGCTGAGGTGTAAAACACTCGCTTTAAAGGAAATATGTATTGATAAACAAATGTTGAGAACCAATCAAATTCATCCTTAAATAACTTTATATAAAATCTTTAGTTTAATTGGTGACGATTGTTTTAACAAAAGCATGTAAACATTATAAATAATAGTCAACGACGCCTGAACAGGCAATTCAATTTTCTTCGTTCAAAGAGCTCAGACGTATTATCTCATAATAAAGTTATAGTTAAACATTTCGTTAATTATTGTTCCAATCAAGTTATTTATTAAGTTATTTATTAGTTTATTAAAAGTTTCAAAATTAGTTTTCCTTATTCATTTAACTTCCTAAAATCATCGAGAGCAGAGTACTTCAGTGCTCCACGAGCGACAATTCCCTCAAATTCCTCAAGAACCCACGTAACAGTAGTATGTTTTGACAGAACAAATCACAAGTTTTCACTACGTGACGTTGCTTAAATCCTAATTGAATTCAAATATTTAAATAAAATTTTCTTCAAACAAAAAATAATGAGAAAATTTATTTTCTTTCAATACATTGCATTTACTAATTTCTTATAAAAAATGTGTTGTATCTAAATATTATATTTCTTAAAGATGAATTTCGTTACTAAAATTAGTAAAATAAGTATGTTATTGGGAGGAATAGCTATTTATTATATTTAATTTGTGTTCACAAAGTATTGTTCTTTTTTACATTGCAAAAAATTGACATTTTATCTTTAAACAAAAATATATTTCTAACAGCACAAAAAATTATACTCTTTTTAATATTATGGTAATAATAGAAATTATTTTTTAGTATTCATGTTGTATTTTAATTAGAATAATTGAATAATCTTAGAATAATCTACACAATAATAAACTCTTTTATGTTAAAATATTTTTTGACTTGTGGAAGTTATTGTAAGCTGTTTAGCTTGTTCATTATCAGTAATTGTTTAGATAAATAACATTTTCTTTTATAAAAGTTTGGACTTTAGTATTTCATAAGCCATTTTATTTCGAAAATATGGCATATCCTGTTGCGTGAACGTGATTTTTTTATTTGCACAAATATATTCAGCAAACATACAAGAGAAGACACCACAGTCACTCCCATTCATTTGTTGTGGAATATTTTTGGCACATTCTAACTTCCAATTACTGGTGTCATAGACTTGTTTCTTTTTGTCCAAGCTTTCATCTTCCAGATATTGTTGTAGTGCTGATAAACATTTTGGATTGTTGCCACCCATACTGTCATAATAACGAATAGACCTATCTCTAAAATCAATTATCGACATGCACCAATGAATACCTAAATGTACAGGAACAACTACAAGATCTTGTGCAAAAATATCAATTTTTCTTGTCCATCTTTTTAAGGATGAATGTCCACCTGAGATTAATTTTGGATAGAAAAATGTATTCATAGCATGAACTTTTGGATATTTGTTACTAGTACTTCTGGCTATTAATAAATTCATATAAAAATTTATTACTTCATCGTTCAACCAATTTAGGTCAGCTAATGTATGAAGATCTTTTCTTGTGATTCTTAAACCAAATCCTTCAACAAGAACTTCATTTGGTGGTCGAGGAATAAGAGAATTTTTTAATTCTTGTAACATTTCTTCTGTTAAAGGAGGTAATTCTGACTCTTCCAAGTCTTCTCTTTCATCTAAAACAGCCTCACACAACCTCATAGATTGAGCTAAATGCTCTTCTAAAGCTGCTTCTCTTGCTAAACGATTATGCTTAGACAACACACATGTCATTTTTTTAAGCTCTTCTGCTTCCTTGTAACGTTGTTCAATACGTTCATTATATCGTTTTGCTACTTGGGGAACAAAATCCTCCCTTATTACAGCCTTTGCTGATAATTGATCTCTTAATGTGTTTGTAGTTACGCAATCAAAATGGTTTTTTTTAATAGATTTATCTATATTAACATTTCTTTTAGAAGATTGTATTTTATCATGAATGGAATGTACTGCCTCTTCTCTTTTATCACTATCTAAAGTAATAATTGTATCTTTACTCTTTTTCTCTCCAAGTGAAGTACTCCACATTTTTTGATACAACATTTGTAATGTTGTATCATGTTTTCTAGAAGCAGATTGAGTCCTTGAGGAAGGAGTTGAAGAACTAGACTTTTCTAAATCTATTACTTCTATTGATTCTTGTGTAGATCTTTTATCTTCATGTTTATCACGTATAACATGTATCCTATGTGGGAGAAAGTTTTGTAATAGTTCTTCATATTGATTTTTTTCTTTTAGGCGATGCGTTTTAGTTAATGTTGAACATCTTTGATGGACTCCTACATTTTTTACTCTTTCACTTTTATTAGCAAAATAACCCATGTTTGATATATCATGACACAGTTTAGGTTTTGATGATGAAAACGACGATGTACAACAAGTAAGAGATTTGTCTCTACTACTGCATGTACCATTTAATTTGCTAGATGATTTCATGGGGAAATATTTATGTTCACTTATGACTTCAACATCATCATCACTGTCATCCTTGTTTTCAATGAGTTCTTCCTCTTCTGCCATTTGACTGTAATCGCAACATTGTTTCTTTGATTTCACAAATTCTTTTTCTAAACTAAATGAAACAGCTCTACGTTTTCTAGGTGCTTCATCTACCCATCCAAAGAATTTTTTTAAAAAATCAAATATCAACATCATTGTTGTAAGAAAACAATTGCTTATAGCACAAAGTCAAAGTATTTTTTACTAATATGGCCATTCAATATATTATTATCTTTTATTATATCTCAGATGATCCTAAAAATTGTATTTTATATATTTCATTCATAAAAAAATTTAATATGCACATAAATATTTAATGTGTTCAAAAAAAGAAAATTTTTTAAATGTAGTACTTACAATATATATATATTAAGTTTAAATGGTTGACCATTGTGTTAAAATTATTAATCCAAGTAACCTAAAATAACCCTTATGATTATTTAATATAGTTTAATATTAAGATAAACAAATGTAAATGTAAACATAAATCATTTATTGGAAAAAAAACTATGATTACATATAAATAGAAAATAGAAATGTACCCACGTCTTACTTTAATTTAATTTTGTGTAAATTGTGATTTTATACCAAGAACCGGTATTTTGTTTTTGTAATATTGGAAGGAAGAACGAAAATATTTTACATATCATATACTTCACATACAAATTTAAACAGCAAGTAATAAACCGTGCGTTCAATTCCATTGGTATTAATGCGGAGTAAGGATTGACAACTCCCGCGTATTTTATGGAAAAATTGACGCCCTTTGGTGTTACTTTCAAGAACTACATATTTAAATTCATTTTATAATTTAAAATTTTGTTCAAATAATACAATTTAACTTAAATTACGTATATTATTGTAAACAATAATTATATTTTGAATGTATATTTTTATGTTATTTTGGTACAATTAAGTCACAAAGAGATATACATAGTGTATTTAACATACTTCTGTGCGACTTAACAAGAAATGGTACGCATGCGTTTTTGAACACAACTTCATACTTTACTCTTATAGGTAATTTATTATTCTTTTTATGTTTCTTCAAATAGTACGAAATTTTATCTTTGTTGAAATTCGTTTCATGGAAAAAGATAATAGTTAAATGTAGAGATTATA